GGTAAAGAGCCCGTACCAAAACCTTTTCTTAAAACTCCATCAAAACATCATTACAAAACCAACCTAAAACCCTAAAACCCGACCGACACGCCGCGGTGCACATTCCCAACCCAACCCCTCCCAAGGTTTCCACCACAAGGCCCAAAATCCTAACTTCACCTCTTACAACCCCCTCCTCCCTCCCCCCAAACCCAAAACACACCTTCCCCCCTCCATTTCCCCCTAATCCCCCCGGGAGCCCCCTCACCTTGTTGAACCCGGGCATCATCTTGAGGATCTGCATGCCGCCCATGTTGTTCATGCTCTTCCACTGCGACAAGTACGACAACAAATCCTCAACAGCACGTCAGTACGACAGTTGCTTGTACGACAACCAGTTGCATGGACCGCAGGATAATGATATTTTGCTTTGGGGGAGGAGGTTAAAAAATGGCTGGTGCGAGACGATTATGGTCCGAGGGCCCTCCGAAGAAAAAAAATCCTTTTTACGTACATGCATACCTACATACCTATCCCCCTCCATCCCTCCTACGCCCCTTTTGGGCTAATCCCCCTCCCTCACCCAACCACCACAACCACTCAACCGCCCACCTGATTGAGGAAGTCGTTGAAGTCAAACTTCTCCTCCATCAACCGATCCATAACCGCCTTGGCATCCTCCTCCTGGAGGTGCGCATCCGTACGTCCGTACGGCAGAACAGACCACGCGGCGGTTAGACGTTAGTTTGGTGTCAGCCAAAGTATGAGAGCTATTGGTATTGGGCTGTAATACTTAGGGTTGGTTGTATTTCTCACCTCCCTTCCTCCTCCTTCCTTTCCCAACCTCACCCCTATCACCAACCGACCAACGCCGCCGCCATCATCACACACACATACACATACACATACACATACACATACACACATACACGCCGCCCCCCCACACACATGGGCAACCCAACAGTCTCCGATATTCCTAAATCCAGTTTCAGCAATCAACAGTTGTCGTACATTGGGGGGACTTGGGGGACGTGAGTCTTCAACGCCCCCCTTTCCCCCCAGGCCCCATCCGCGTACCTTGATTGCCGCCTCCGCCTTTTCGTACAGCGTCAGCACATCCCCCATTCCCAGAATCCTGGACGCCATCCTCTCCGGGTAGAAGGGCTCCAGCGCCTCCATCTTCTCACCCACACCCACGAACTTGATGGGCTTGCCGCTGACCTGTAAAGGGGGGAATAGGGGGGAATAGGGGGGAAGGGCCGGGGGGTGGGGGAGGTCAGCAGGTCATGACTCTTAGCATTGCGCTGTGTCCTCTTCATCTTCTCGTCCTGTGATAACCCCAACCCCTC